CATCTTTCCATGCAAACTCCTCTCTTCTTCTTCCCCTCTCTCATTCTCGGCCGAACACCCCTCTTCACTCATCAAAAATTCATTCCAAACCTCTCTAAGTCTTGAAGAGCATTCCTCCTTCCCTCTCCTAAAATTTTCGAGGTTTAAGTGCATTCCAAGGAGATTTTTCACAAAAATCACCATCCAAGGTAAGGTTATACTAAATTCTATGATCTAGGTTCCTTGATCTATCTAAAATCTCTTCTTAACTCTCATGAAATCATGAACTTGTGTCTTAGAACCCCTCAAACTCGAGATCTTCAAGAAAAGGGTGCTAAGGCCAAAAATCACTTCATTTCTTCCATCCTTTCTTCAAAAACCGAATCAACACCCAAGGTGAGCTTCATACCCCCTTATTTTTGGTTTTTATAAGTTTTTGTGGGGGAGAATACAAGCAAAGGTGTAGATCCATCATTATGTGTATGTTTTGGTTGATTTCTATGCTTATATGTATGTTTTGTATGATTTTGATGCTAGATCTAGTTATGAATTGCTAAAAACCGAGATATATTTTATACTAGCATAAAATATACTACTACATGCAAAGTATACCAAGAAAAATAGCCAAATGGCTTGACAACACTTATTTTGGGCTAAAAACTCATTTTTTTTGACACAAAATGTTAAAAATACAAAGTTGAAGGGCCTAAAATGAAATATTTCGAAATCTGATGGGTGAGATGAGTCAAAACAGTTTCCATAATGTATTTTCTTAAAATATACTCTTTTGGAGGATTAAAAACATAAATTTCAAGCTTAATGGTCTAAAAATGACAATTTCGGCCCAATAGGGCCCATTATGCGAAATTTTCTATTTTGGAGGGCCAAAACTGTGTTTTTCTGTAAAACAGTGGACCACTAGTGTCACAAGTACTTTTCAAAGGTTTAAAATGCTTTTCAAATTTAAAAAGGACCAAAGTTGCAAAAAATTTCCAATTTGGGCCAAAAATGTAAAAATTGCGAAAAAGAGGGGTTACAACCGAGAAAACTGCAATTTCAGGGACTTAAACTGTTTTCAATGAAAAATATGCTGAAAAATATTAATTTCAATAATTTTTGGTGTTAAAATGTCAAGAAAAATGGTTTAAGGACTAAACCGGAAATTATTTTACCTAAAGGGGTGAAAAAGTAAATTTACAAAATAAAGAGGGGTTGTAAACAGAAAATTTTCAATGATAATTCAATACACACGTTGTGAACAAAGATTGACACTACAACTCTCGATGAATTACAATACACAATATCACCAACAATCGTTACCATACGAATTGATTCGGTCTCGAACCAATAACAAATCCAAAACTACTAACACTACAACGCTCAATACACATATGGAACTCTTGGAACTCTTTACTCTCATTGAATTACTCAATACGTCGACGTACACTCCTTAGGCCCAAAAGTTGCAAATCATGCTTGTCGAGCCTAGCTAGCCCGATGACATGATCTTTAGGCCCAAAGGACACTTGCTTACATGTAGTTGGGTCTAATACGACTCGACCGCGTGTAAAAGGACTTTCAATGGCAAACATGCTGCTGGTCCCCAAGGGTCCTTCAGTGCTGCTAGTAAAGTCGGGAACTCACGATTGCGGGTTGGGCTTCGGGCCCTTCGCAATTGCAATGGTCTTGAACGACGTAGGCAAATACCGAGGGTTTCGCACCTTCACTTTTTCTCCTCGGTCGTGGGACTACACAAGTCCGGGAGGATTGAGTTGTGTGAATAACTGCGAGTGACGCCTAAGGGATCGCTAGTACGGTTGTCAACTGGACGTTTTCATTAACGTACGTTACAACAATTCACCACCCTCTATATACTCAATGCCTTCGGAGCTCAACGAACACCTCTAACGTAACGAAATAACAGTACACAAACTAAGTAAAGCAAAGTGATAGGAAAACGTCGGGTTTTCCTAGGGTTTTCAACAAGTACACTTATGAACTACATGTCGAATTTCACAACTCTTACGCTTACATCTATAGAATTCAAACAAGCATACTCACGGATCTTCACATATTTTTACGCTATTCTATTTTCAGAAAATATCGGATTTTCTGGTGGTTTTTCAAAACATTACAAACATTGGATTTCAAACATTACTTATGAACTCACCAACATTTCACATGTTGACGTTTTTCAAAATACTTGTATTCTCAGGTAACAGATAAGTGAAGAAAGGACTGTACTCTATGATTGTTTTGCGGTTGTTTAAGTAACAACGAACAATATATTTTGGAATGTAATATTTTGAAACAATGTAATGGATGTAAACGCTACCAGTTGTATTATTCCAATGCTTGGTGATGTATGATGTTACGTTTCATATATATTCAGTGTGATGGTATTCAATTAAGTCACAACAGCCCCCGGACGTTTCCGCCGTGTGGTTCGGGGGTGTGACAATATGCCTAACGGAATACTTGTGCATCAATCAAATTACATAGAAAGAGTCTTGAGACGTTTCAATATGGACAATGCCAATCCTTTAAGTACTCCACTGGTTGTTAGATCATTAAATATTGACAAGGATCCATTTCGTCCATGCGAAGAAAATGAAGAAGTCCTTGGTCCAGAAGTACCATACTTTAATGCAATTGGAGCTCATATGTATCTTACTAATTGTACTAGACCTGCCATTTCTTTTGCTGTAAACTTGCTAGCAAGATTTAGTTCAACCCCAACAAAAAGACATTGGAATGGAATCAAACATATTTTTCGATACCTTCGAGGAACTAGTGATTTAGGGTTATTTTATCCTAACAATTCGAAAGAAGGCTTCATTGGTTATGCAGATGCAGGTTATTTGTCTGGTCCTCATAAAGCTAGATCTCAAACCGGATACATATTCATGAATGGAGGTACTACAATTTCCTGGCGTTCTCAAAAGCAAACACTTGTTGCAACATCCTCAAATCATGCTGAAGTAATTGCACTAAATGAAGCAAGTAGAGAATGTACATAGTTGAGATCGATGACACAACTAGTCTTAACTTCATGTGGACTTGAAAAAGATATAGGTCCAACTTTAATATATGAAGATAACTCAGCATGTGTCACTCAAATGAAAGATGTATCAAGAGCGACAGAACAAAACATATACCTCCAAAGTTTTTTTTTTGTACACTCAAGAGCTTATAAAGAACCATCAAGTTGAAATCAAATATGTTCAATCCAACAACAATGTAGTTGACCTTTTTACGAAGGTACTTCCTACTGCCATCTTCAAGAAACATGTCCATAACATCGGAATGCGAAATGTGCATAGAATATAATGTGACAGATGTCTAAATAAGAGGGAGTCAACTATACACTGCACTCTTTTTCCCTTCGCTAAAGTTTTTTCTCATTGGATTTTCTTTAGCAAGGTTTTTAATGAGGCAGTACGTTAAAGTTGAATTCTAATATGAAATGATATCATCCAAGTGGGAATTTTATAAATAATTGGATGACAATATTTTCTACCCTAATATCAAATGTGTAAAAGTTATTTTCAATTCTTATAACAAATATGTCAAATATTTATAAGAACTCATTGATTATGTATAGTTGTTTAATTAGTATAAATAGCATCCTTGTATATATATAGGAGGTACACCAATTTGAATAGTTTCTATAAATTATTAAATTCTCTCCAAATCCTCATTCTTCTTTCTTAAGGTTATTTTAAGGTCATTAATTTAGTTTTATTAATTTTATTTTAATTACGTCAAATCTTGTAACAATATATATATATATATATATATATATATATATATATATATATATATATATATATATATATGTGTGTGTGTGTTCAGGTTCATTTGAGACCATTCTAATTTTGTGAGACCGTTAGACCAAATCTAAAAATAATTTTAAAATGTAAAATAAATGGAAAAATCCAAAAATTCTTTTTTTAAATATTATTTTCGAAACTTGAATTAACCAAAAAAAAAAAAAAATTTAAAAATGTTGTTTTTTTTTTTTTTAAATACATGAAATATTCTAAATAGAATATTAGACTGACCTATTTTAAAAAATAGTTTTAAAATGCAAAATAAATGGAAAATATAAAAATTCTTTTTTTAAATATTATTTTCGGAACTTGATTAACTAAAAGAAATTAAAAAGATAAAAAGATCCTATTTATTTTGAAAAATACGTGAAATATTCTAAATAGTATATTACACTGTACATATATTCTAAAAATAATTTTAAAATGCAAAATAAATAAAAAATCAAAAAAAAAATTTTAAATATTATTTTTAGAATTTGAATTAACTAAAATAATTAAAAAAAATTTAAAAATTAAAAAATACGTCTTATGATCTCACAAAATTAGACCGTCTCACATAAAGCTAACCCTATATATATATATATATATATATATATATATATATATATATATATATATATATATATAGTATTGGGCTTGGACCGGATTTTTGTGTCGAGAATGACCGGTTCCGAAACAAATTGTTAGTTTCAATTAACATTACTCAATTTCCCAAAAACATATTTACCTTTTAAGTCAATATCCCTCTTATAAACTACAAAAAATAATATATTTAAAATATTAATTTATTTAACAATTGGTATAATTCAAAGAGATCCATTTTTCATTAACCGTATCCATCAACAAAAATTATTATATATATTCCATAAACACATTAAATAATACAGAAAAACCTACTTCTATTTTCATTAGATACCCATGCAAAATTACAAACACGTCCATACCCTCTTGCTTTAGGGTGTTACAAAATGTACAAATACCCATCAACAAGAAAAGCCCATATTAACCAAAAGCTGCCCTATCGCCTTTTTCTCCGTCTTGTCCTTTCTTCCATTATGCTCGGACAAGATTTACATTTACTTAACTTCTATTCATCATTACTTATATACATACACAATATATATATATATATATATATATATATATATATATATAATTTCTCCATTAGTTCTTCATCCCATCACACCTTCAAAACCTTCGGCTCTGTTGATGCCTTTTCCATTCAACTAAACGTTGTAAAAAATCCATCACCTATAGACATTTACAACATACCTAAATTAGAATAATAGATTTTTTTTAAAACACATAATCAAATTACATTAATTACTATTTACTGCCATAACTTTCATAACCCGTTGCAACGATTTTCACTAACCGCATTTAATCGTTACCCATCGAGCTCTTCATCATTATTTTGTGTTAACAAATAACTTGATTATGTTTTTACATTAAAATCATTTTATATCCTCATCTACTTTTATTAAACATAAACTAGAGAAAACCAAAACAACAAGAATATGAAATACAAGATTGATGGATTTTGTGGTTTTGTTATGTTTCCCAAATAAATAAGATCGAATGTGAACAATAAAGAAGAGGGCCACAACAAATATTCCTAAAAAAAGAAAAAGTTAATAAAAAGTAACAGAATAATATTATTGAAAACTTGCCTCGGATGGTTCCTGCAAAGAATAAGATGCATTTGTGTCCTTTGGAATTTTGGACACCAGAATGCCAAAACCTTGTCCTCTTTCTCTCAATACCTAATTTTTACCAAAAATAAATAAAAAACAAAATTTAATTTTTTTTTTCACGGGAACACCAAATACAAATTATTTTTTTTTCTTGTATAAAAAAAACCAACCTTGAATGCGTCTTCGTCCGTTCGATCGTCTCCAATGTAAATAGGAAAGACATCTGTACAGTTGGCATAACCTGAACACATATACGTATCCATCAAGTCGTGTATGTTACACGTGTAATTTTAACTTATTTTATTTTATTTTATTCCTTTCTTATGAAGTAATAAAATAAACGATAGAAGAAAAAGATAAAACGATGACGTACCCAGTGACTCTAACAAAAACTCGAGGGCTTTGCCTTTGTCCCATTTAATAGTGGGACGGATCTCTAGCACCTGGAAATTACCAAGTATAAAATAGTTAGATTTAATATTTATTTGTTTTTTGGAATTAAACAATTAAATAATACGATAATATAATTGTCGTGAAAAGACGATTCTAACCTTCCTTCCTTGAGATAACCGAAGCTTTGGGTAGTCTTTCAACACTGATCTCACTTGCGCAGCAAGCTCGCTCCATTTCTTCTCATCAACACATCGGAAATGCACAGAGAGACAGAATTTATTGTTTTCCACTTTTGCCCCTGGTGTTGATTTCGTTTTCTCCATTAATAAACCATAAACCTCATCTATCATGGGTAGAAATTCACTAGCGGGTTGACAGAGAACACTCGGGGGATTCTGAAGAACATGAACAGATTTCAATTTTAGAATATGATCATGTAAATAAAACCTAGAAAAATAAAATGAAAATGAGAAGATGATTATCAGCGTAATGTGTGAAAGTGACTTACTTTCTTATACTTGGAGCCTTTCGAAGGGCCTTTAATGTCCATTCCATGGCTTCCGGCGTAGTAAAGCTCTGCTAATTTGACAAAGTTGTACACTTTATCCCTGCATCTTCCACTAACAATGGCAGTGGGGAAGCATCCAGCGAGTTTTCTGACTGTTGTTCGCATCTATGAAGATGAAAATGAAGGAATTGTGTAAGGTGAAAGAGTATTGATTAGTTTGGAGTTTGGACGTGAATCTAGAGTGGAGTTAAATGATTACCGCATCCGACATGTAAGCCTGATCGGGGTCATCGACGATTGGGGAGAGTGTGCCATCGTAATCGAGAAACATCACTATTTGTTTTCCTTTTGAAGCGTTAGTAATTTCGTCGAACACGTTCAAGGCAGAAGGATGTCGATCCTGATTCATTCAAACATGCATTTTCAGATCGAGTTTTCATTTCGAGTTCAAATTCAAATTCAAATATCAATCTAGGAAACACGATATGTAGTAAGGTAGGTACTAACCATCCATGAGGTTAATTCCTGCGAGAGAGATACATCGGATTTCCGATGAGACGTCGGAGAAGAAGCTCTCATAGATTCCACCCACGCGTTAATCCTCTTCTCACCGTTGATTTCCAGGTTCTGTAGCAGTTTCTTCTTCGATATCGTGATATAGCCTCCAGGCATCAACGGCGGTTTCTTCATCTCCGCCGTGAACAACGCCTTTGGCACAACCGTCATCGCCATATCCATTCCGGTTTTCGCTTCTGCAACCATTACTTTCTGTTTTGTCATTCTTGTTTGTCAAACTCTGATTTCTTCTCCGTTGAATACAAAAACTAAGTCTGGGTTTGATCCAAAAACCCAATGGGGAAACGAAATCAGAGGAAAAGATTAAGAAGTCAGAAATGACAGAGATTAAGAGATTTAAGAGTGAGAAGAACTCTGTTTAGGGATGAAGGATACCAATGGTAGTTTGGTTTGCTTTATAGTTGCAACCGGACACTAACAGACGAAACGAAGTGGGGCCCACGTAATTTTTTCCTTTTTCTTCAACAGTTTGCTTTTATACATTAACCGATATTTGAACAGGGTTCCACTGTAAATCTGTGGATCCAACCACATGGAAACATTACCCCACCGTCATATCATTCCTGTAGGTTTGCCTTGCCGCCGTCTTAGCCGTCAACCTATAACCAACCTCTTCGTTCTCGCAGACCCCTTTCAGGACAGCTGGCAAAGTATAAGACACGTGGCAGACATCTCATGGATAAATTAAACAGATCGGTACCATATAATCTTCTACACACTTAGCTTTCTCGTACACTCTCTTTCCACCGAAAATAAAATAAATATATTAATTCTTATGTTCGATAAATATTTTCAGCTATTCCGAAAATATATTTATGTCGCAATTTGTTAGTTTTTCATACGCGTTAGAGTTTAAATCATGTCGATAACTATTTTTCAGATAACTGGTATATAGAGTTGTTTTTTTGTTCTTACTTGAGCATGTATAATAGAACTTTCTAGAGTTTTTCATGAGATTTTTTATCTTTAAATTGTATAAACTTATTGTAATTGTCGTTTGAAATTACCAATTTTTTGGTGGGTGTAATTGTTTATTTATTTAAGATTCGAAGATCCATGAATAAACTCCTGGATGATGTATTAATGATCAAAGAAAGTTTTGTCATGCAATAATGGCGACGATGAAAAGGAATAAATATAGCTAATCACGTAATAAATGCATTTTAAAGAAGGTTGGTGCGTTAACACAAGAATATTTATGAACATATCTATATCCTATAAACAAATTAAATACATTTTTGTTGTTGAGTTGTCGTAATTGGGGTGTTTTTTAAAGGTCCTTAACCTTTTATGTTTGTACGTGGACAAACGTTGTAGCTTGCGGATTATTTGTTTTCTCAAATACCATAGATCTAAAAATATATGTGTTTTCTCTTCTTGCACCAAGACTTAGAAAACAACCTTTTTCTTAGACCAAGTTTGTATATGCTTAAGATCGAACATAATACAACCATTCTAGAAAACATATTGTTAAACATTTTATCAGACATATCATGAACTTAGAAAACAATTTGTACTTAGAAAATAACTGCTATACTCTATAAACGTCTTTTAAACCTAAAAGATCTTGCTTCATTCTTCCACACTTTCCTGCCAGGTCAATATCATCTTTCACGACTCCTTCCTGAAAGAACACAATCTTCATCTCATACCTTCCTAGTTCCCACCGTAGCCGTTGGCCCTTCCCTTCGTCAATGAGTACGTTGTTGTCCAAGCCACCTCCAACTCTCTAATTATATTTCTTTCCCCTTCTTCTTAGCCCTTCTTTTCGCCTGTGGTCTTCCTCTTGTTGTACATTGTGGTTAGATTTTTTTTTGTCAAATCATACTTAGGGGGTGTTTGGATTAACTTTTTAGCTTATTGCTTATAGCTTATTTGTGGTGGGAATAAGCAATAAGCATAGGGAGAGATACTTATTAAAATTAACTTATTTAGCTTAATAAGCTGGATTTTATCCAAACACTCAAATTAGCTTATTGTGGGAATAAGCAATAAGCACATTTTTTTTCCTATCCAAACATCCCTTTAGTAATACAACTTGTTGACAATATGATAACATTTGATTTTCTTGTTGCGAAAATCAGATTATTGTGACAAAAGTTGTTAGAATTTACTGACATATGTTAAAAGTTGTTGATAATTGGTTAAAAGTCACCAAAAATTTAATTTCTTGATACTGAAATCATATTTTATAATAAAATTTCTTGAAATTCATTAAAGCTTGCTGAAATATGTTAAATGTTTCTAAAATATGAATTATTTGTTGATGAAATTCATTGATCATCCTTCAGAACCTCATCTTCATTCAAGTCAAAGCCAAACATTGGTTCCTGGCTAATTTGCACATCAGTGTCATTTGAACCTTCGCTATTCATCTCGTTGTCTATGTCCTCATGTTCATTCACTCCTTCGGATCGAGATCTGGTACCCTCATTGGCACTGCGAAGAGTTTCTTCCATCACATACATCAATTCTTGGGTCTTTCTTATATCATACATGAAGAGTCAATAATTCAATTAAGTATTCTTTTCAAATAGAAATATATGATAGGTTTAGATATAAAATATAAGTGTGTTTTTATAAAAATCGGGCAACGAAAGCTCAAAAATAACAAGTTTATTTTTTCGAGTTTATAACAAAACAAACCATCTAGGATCCATTGATAGAGGTTATAATGATATTAAAGACAATCATAAAGTGTTTTGGAATGACAACCTCTGGAACCTTTGAATCCAATTGGTTTTGGGGTGTTGATGAAGATAGAAATATCAAAGAATACGATATTCTCTACAAGTATCTGTTGGATCAGGTGTCTAAGCCAATAACTATTATTGGTATGTATTCAACCCAAGAGGAGCATGGTCCATTTGGGTTGCATATCATCAGGATAATTTGTTAGGATGGACTTTTGAGAGAAGGTTATTTATGGTTTATTAATGTATTATAGGTTATAATATATTAATATGAAATCATATGTTTTAATTAGTATCGATCAAGAATTAATTTGGAATTAATTTAGTGGTCAAAAGAGACTAATTAAATCTATGGGGACTAATTATGATAATTAGTTATATTTATATGTGTTGGTCTTATGATCCACGTTGGACCAAATTTATGTATGGATACATCAAGAGTTGGGCTACATGAACCATAGATCATCAAACCCATGGGTATGGATTTGGGTTATACCCATGACTCTTGGAATCCAACATATAAATGTGCTACTTCATGACTAAAACGTGAACACTTCTTTTCTTAGTGAAATATGGAGGTTTTTGGTGCATGGAATTCTCTCTCGAGTCCTACCTTTGTCCATGATGTGTTGTGACTTCATTTGACGCTTCCATACTATCGGGGCTAAGCTCTTTAAGGCTAAATACACCAAGACTTCGAGCTCCATCAAAAGGTATGTCATGCTAACTAGTATATTATGTTTTTTTATGTTAAATGCATGCTAGTTGTAAGATTAATACCTTGGAAACCATTTGCATGTATAATTAGTGGATACATAGATCCAAGGTATTTAGGGTTGTATGTGCACCATAGGATGTTGTATTATACCAAAACCCAACAGTGGTATCAAAGCTATGGGTTGTTTTTAATTATACTTGATGAAAATAGCTGGAAAAAATCGTTTTTTTTTGCTGTCTGGACTGCAGACTCGACAAGTCCATTGATGGACTGTACGAGTCCATGAACAAATTCATCCAACTTGTCAAGTTGGTTCATGTACTCGACGAGTTGGACCCCGTGACAGCATATCTTCGAGTTTTTTTTGGGCTGATTTGGATTAGAATCGTTACCACAAAGTGTTTTTGTTCATAAAATTTGTTTTTGATACTATGGTAATGTTTAATCTCATCCAAATAAATGATAATAATCAAAGTTTCAAGTTTTATACATGTTTATATGATGCTTGAAAAATGTTGATTATGAATGTTCATGTTTATGAGTTTGTTTAGATTAATAGAAAAAATTATGAGATAGTTGTTTTCAATCCAAATTAATCTAGAAATTGGTAATAATATGTGTTTTTTGTAACTTGTCCTCAAGTTACTTGAAAAGTCACATTTATGAATTTTAAAACTCATAAAATTTCCATAAGTTATGAAAAAATGAAGAGTCACATTTTTAAATGCTTTTAAAGTCTTCCATAACTTATCTACAAGTTATGGAACTTGAAGAGTTTTTCCATTAAACCACTTTAAAACTCATAAGTGATGGAAACCATAAGTTTTTGAATTGTTCAAAACTTGTTCTCAAGTTTTGGAATTTGTAAAGTCACCCCCTATATACACTTTAATTCCAGACTTTAGAATTTTAAAAGTTAAAGTTCAAACTTTATGGACTTCATTAAATTAATTAAAATGTTTAATTAAAAGAGTTAATAATTCCATAAAGACATGGTTTATGTTTAATTAAATTAAAAGTATAGTTTAATTAATAGATTAAACCACTAAGTATTTTAAATGTTTAAAATACACCCTTATATTATTATAATATTAAAAGTTAATGATTATATATACGTATAAGAGTAAAGTCAGTCTTACTGTTAGTAGGCCTCATTCACGAAGTTGGTCTATAAGGGGGTATAAGGTTATTGTCTATAAAATGGCATTTTAATGGGTGTCCACTCTCACCCACCGCTTCCTTGACTGGTGAAGGGTCGTTAGCCGAACGGGTAGGACAAGGACTATAATTCTCCCTTCATTAAAAGTATTAATGATAAATACTAAGTAACTAAACCTTTTATAAATTCCTAGTCTTAGTTACTTAGGAAAAAGTGAATACGATGCTAATCCATGAAATTACACTTTGCACTTTGTTTAAGTCGGTTAGTGGAGTGTGTGTGGTTAACCAACACACTAACTCGTATTTAACAAGGTAGGAAAAGGGTAACTTAATGTTTATCATAGTATCGATGGAACGTATGTGGTTAACCGGCACATTGATTGAGGGGTAAACACTTAAGGGTACAAAGTAATTTGCATGGTTACTTCACACCTTGTTTTGTGATCCTCGACATCCCAATCACAAAACCTGAAGGGAACACTCGAGATTGAAACATGCCATTGAAAAGTTAAATGAATCTCAAAAGATCTAGGAGTTTCAAATCCAATTAAAACCTAATAATACGTTTCGTTTATCTTGGTGGAAATTGGTGAATCGTCATTCACCTACTTTCAAATATTTTATAGCTTGGATTACGGCATCCCTCTTCCAAGTTATAAAAGTATTGTGTTGGGTCCTAGCTTTAATATTTCATACTGGGTGTTATATTAAGGAATTTAAATCAACTATCTTGAATATCTCCCAAAAAGATGTCTGGTTTAGACATTTATGATCTTCCCAAATCTCTTGAA